ATTTTCGACTAATATAAACATCAACAGTCCTTTGCGAACAAAATTCTGTCCCTTTGTTATTATTATAATTCATGGACAATAAAACTGATCTACGATGGTCAGGAATAGTTCGTTGTAAAGAATTTCTTTAATTTTTCCGATATTTGACGGAACATAGTATAGAGTAAATTCCCATGCTTGGTTATCATTAAAACATACATTTTTATGTTAATATAATAAAGATTTTTTTTTCTTATCCAAAATTTTTTAAATATTATTATTAAGTTTACTTCTTAGGGAAGTTATTTTTTGGACCGGTTTAATTTAAATGAACAATACATTTATCCGTTGAACGTTTCGTCTCTATTTGAGACTTCCTCAGCAACTAAAATTTAAAAAAATGCATGTGTGTGTTTTAAATTTAAAAAAAACAACGGATAAAATGTTCATTTAAATTAAACCGGTCCAAAAAATAACTTCCCTAAGAAGTAAACTTAGTAATACATTTTTATATATAAATATATATTATAAAAAAAAGAAAAAATATACGCACATACACAGTTATAAAAATATACATAAATAATTATGAAACTTTAATTATCGAACAAATCCAATGAAAATTATCGATAAGTGTATGTAACTATGTATAATCCAAAAAGAAACAAAAAAAAGAAGAAATAAATCAATTCGAAACGATTTCGTATAATTCAAGTTAGAAAATTTCACGTTGCTATATATTATAGGTTGAAAAAAAAATATCTACGCAATTTTTCATTCATCTTTACATATTATCTTATTTATTCCAATAAAATGTGTATATAGTAATAATATTAAAATATTATAATGTAATAGGAAATAAAAAAAAACGCAAACAAAGATCACGGGAGTATTGAAAGAGAAAAATGAGATAATAGTGGGGTTAATGAAAAACACGTGTTCAAGGATAACAACGTTCTACGAGAGAGAAAGATAATTAAAATTTTCGAGCAACAGTAATACGTGACAATGTTTGGGTATTAGTATTGGGGGGGTAGGAGGGGGTGAGTGATGATGGTGATAGCAGTGCTCGTCGTTCGTTTTATTTCTGTCGAATTCGTTCTTTCACGTTGATGGAAAGGAAGGAGGTTATGGTAGAGAATAAGAGAGAATAAGAGAGAGAGAGTAAGTGAGAGAGAGAGAGATATGCAGAGGCAACGATTTTTGAAATCGTTCGGATGAACGAACAACGTTGCCACTCGGCGAAGCGGAAAAATGTGTTCGGATTGTGAAAAATGCGGCTTACTTGGAAGCTCAATGGAAAAAACCACCATCACCACCAGCACCATCACTTTCGCTTTTCTTAGATTTCTTATCGTTGCTTCTGACGTGTGTGTAAGAGAGAAAGAGAAAACATTCCTTGAAAAATACACACAAGGTGGCTACGAATTTGGGAAAAAAAAATAAATATTATAAATATGCTATTCCTATTCGTATTCCTACTATATCGTCAAATTGAAAATGAACTTACTTATTTTTTACGAAAATGATGAAAATAAAATTTGTACATTTGTTTGACAGTTGTTTTTATAATATTAAACAATATTAATGATTGTTTGGTCAGTAAAAATTATATTAATTATATTCATCTTAATAGAAATGTTCATTATTTTAAATATATTCGATACATTTTTAATTCTAATATGAGATAATTGATAATCGTTTATAATGCTAGCTTGGATAAAAATTCGAAATTTTTGATAATAATCTAAGCAGGTATAAATATCATAATAAAATATACTATTTTTCCCAAGATACTATAAAAGTAGACCCCCCTCCGAACGAATATATTGAATAAAGAAAACAAAGGACATAATACAAAAAGGTAAAAGAAACAAGTTTGGAAGAAAAGAAAAGAAAAGAAAAGAAAAAGAGGAAAAGAGAAAGTTAAAAAGTTCTAACCTCCCCCCATTGGGTTTTCCCAACTTCGTAAAAAATCGTCTTAAACTTGGCTACAGTTTAGGTATAACGTTTTCTTATCGTAAGAAAACATTTACAGAAGGTCCGACGAACGTATCAGAGTCAACAAACATTAAGATATCTTTGGATTAGTAAAAAACACTTTTTTATCTTGTTTATCATGTTTATTTAGTAAATTTTAAAAGAAAATGATTACTTTAATCTGAAATAGAGAGTAAATCTGCCGTTTTCCTTGAAAGCAAACAGTAAACCGGCTCTTTTCATTTATCAAGATTTGTCAAATATCTTTTTTTATCGATTCTTGTTTACATGATTCTCCGAAGGTAATACATGGAAATAATAATAATATATTTCCTTTCTAAATAGAAATTTATTTTTCTGAAAGTCATAAATACAACGATAAATAAAAATACCTGCACGGAGGACTGACGATTCAGTTTATTGTTTGATTTCGAAGAGGAAGAAGGTACGTCGAAATGTAAATCGATATTTTGAGAGAGAGAGAGAGAGAGAGAGAGATTACAATAGATAATTATATATAATAATCAATTAATTAATAATCATTTGAATTGTGCCATAACATTATTCGTACTTTCATAAATTAATGGATCTTCCAATTAATTATCGATCAATGTATTTATACATACATACAAGCACACGCACATGTACCCGTACACAAATCAGACCAAACACTAACCTTGGAATATTCCATGGTTTTATTCAACTGTGGATTCTACCACACTTTCTACACCTTCTCGCTCTCTCACTCTCTCTTTACCTACCTGTATGATTCATCTCTTTTCATATAGTTTTAAAGAATTTAATCGTCACTGTCGTCTGAGAGAAGTTTAATTTCAATTCGCTTTATATTATAATTTATGATAATTAAAACACATTATTAAAGCATATCTTTTGTATTAAATTTATTTTACATACGGATAAAATTATGCACAGATTAGTTTTATCGATAGTGAAAGTTACGTTTGTCATCTTAAAGCGTGGAAAAAAAAGTAAAGTAAAATAAATGAAAATAAGAGAGAAGAAGAAAAAAAAAATCAAATCTCAGGTCAGACGATGGGGGAGTAAAAAAAAAGGTCATATATCATTTCGTTCGCGGTTGCAATCGAAACAGACCACGATACGTAACGTGTTTCTCAACGTATTCCTCCTCAGAGGGTGTCAATAATTTCGCGTGTTCGCTTGGGACATACGTAAGATGAATTCGGTGTCGTTTAGGATAATCCATCATTCCATATCGCAAATTCGATAAACTGTCGTCGATCGTTCGCGTTGAGGGTTGAAATAACTAAACTACGAATATAATATTTTCTTTTTTTATTTATTCAAATATTTTTCCTTGTTCTTCTCTTTTTTTTTCTATTTTTTTTGACAATTTAAAATATAATTTTATATTACTATGAAGATATAGAGAGAGAGAAACAAAGGAATAACTTTTTTTTTTTTTTAAATAACAATACTTATTACGTCGCACACAAATATACTTTTTATATTTTTATATTGAAAATATTTTATAATATCGTATACGTGTAAAATATTTTGCGGATAGGTTTATTTATAAATAAATATATTATAGTATTATCAAAAAATTGTTAAACACGCGTTGAAGTTTGTCGCAATTTATTATAATACTTATTCATTTATACGATAGAAATAATATTAATGAATATTCGAAAATTGTGATATTCTCGAACAATTATAATATATTGTCATTATTTAATCGTGTAATTCGAATACTAATTTAAAAAAGAAAAAAAAACAAATCAAAGTATATACACACATATATTTTATATGTATTTGTTTTTTTTGTTGTCTCGTATAGATATTTAAAAATATCTTAATACTTAAACACATATGAAACATTCAAAATAATATTTTGTAAATTATTTAAGAAAAATCATGACATCGTTGATATCTCACGCTTTTTTTTCTACCTTTCTTATCAACACCTCCGTCATCGACTTATCTTCATATATTTTTTTTTTCGGGGGGGGGGAGCGAGCTTCTTCCTTCGGCATCCCTCTTTTTTCTTTTTCTCTTTTTATTTTTTTCTTTTACCGTACACACAGAGTTAATTTACAGAGCTCTCGAAGGGTATATTGGCTCAAACGCTAAGTGTGATTATACGAGAACGAAAATAGCAAACGACGAAACTCTCTTGCTTGCGAATGTTGAATCTTCAATTTACCAGGCTACCTACCTATCAGAGCAGTGCCTTTCGCGCAGCTTTGTTTCGAACGTACCAACGTTTAATCCGATTTCAAAGGATTACGGGCGCATTTATTTTATCTTTCGTCTATCTTTTAAACAAGAAAAGAAGATTTTCTATCGTTTCGCAAAGTCCCGTTCAAATTTCGCGCGATATTAGAAACCGCCTCCCCCTCGCCCCCTCGCCCCCTGCCACCTACCACCTGTTTTCAGTTTTCTATTAAATCGCATAATATTTCTGATCGAATTATGATATCTTATAAATATTGAGATATTTATCAATATATTTTAAATACATATAAAAGTATTATTATATTTATTATTATATATTATATATACATTTGTGTGCGTTATTTTATTCTCGATTTTATCGGCTCGTGTAATCTTTCTATGAACATGTCATGATGAAGATTGCATTTTATCAATCAATTACGTACAAACAAAAACGTTTCGTCGCATGTAATGCATATTATTCTTGTATATAATTAAAATGATTTTTGTTAACAGGTTTTGTACGTCATTTCTTTCTTCACAGAAACCCTTATAAATACAATGGTATTATTTAAAAATGTATCAGTATCGATATGTATTCTAATTATGTGGTCGGTGACTTTCACACGAGTCAACGTGTTAATAAATTATGGTCCAAATAAAAAGTAAGATTTTATTATGAAAATGATTACATATGAAGATTGTACATTTAGATTATACTACAAAATTAGATATTTATAATATTATTAAAAAAAATAATATTTTAATATTAATAGATTATTTAATTATCTTATTTTTAAAATTTTAATAATTACTGTTAGTACATTTAATAAATAATTTAAAAATTGTTAATATGTATATCGTAGACCGTACTCGTCCAGCTCGAAGTTGTATCCTTGTTTCATCAACTTTCTTTTATACATTTGTAATGAGCCTATGCTCCGGTAATATGTAGCATTAGCTAATATTCCATGTCGAGAAGCAAGTTGTCTCCTTCGGTCCTCGATTTTCTCATTATCTTGAACAACAAATTCCATATTTTCAATGTTAATTTGTTTTTCTTCCTTTAATATAGGAACATCTATATCGAATGAATATTCAAATCTGGCACATTCTGTTCGAGATTCGATTTTTTCTAATTGCATCATTACAATTTTTTCCACGAGCTCCGTGTTCTCGCAATTGTATGAAATTCCATCAATTTCGATAGAGGGCTCTCCAAAATAAACATTTTTGATTATGTCGGTATAATTGATCACACCATAAGTAATTGAGTCATTTTTACAATCTTTTTCAACCAATTTCGATCTAATTAATGAACATATCCGGACGATAGGGGTTGTCTTCATTAACAGTACCGCCCGAAATGCTTCTTCAAGATAAATGTTTAAATTATATTTGTATTTGGGTTCAAAGTCCTTGATATCCTCTGCGTAACTGTTGCACTGTGATTGTGATAAATTTTGGTCCGAGGTACTTGGTTTGCAATTTTCCAAATTTTCTTCWTYTTYTTCGGCCGRGATAATCTGCTGRTCACAATATTYATYMTCTTCCTCTTCTTCTTCGGCCGAGATAATCTGCTGGTCACAATATTCATTCTCTTCCTCTTCTTCTTCGGCCGAGATAATCTGCTGGTCACAATTCTCATCCTCTTCCTTATCTTCATCGGACGAGATAGTTTGTGTTAAATTTGTATTATTCTTTTGTAAGTCCCACAGTGTTGGAATATGTTCAAGCTCGATGTGCAATGTTCCTCCAATCGGAGTAATATTGTTCAATTCGTCTTTATATGTTGAATCCAGATTGGATGTAGAAACAGTATCTATTATCATCCTGCACAACTCACACACGTTGTCTACGGGAAGAGAGACGACTTTAACGTTGTATCTATTGAAATTACTTGGACAGCTCATTACTATTATCGTGCACAACGTTTTACATATGGTTGGGTCCGTCCTCAAGCAGAAATCATTTATTGTTTGAAGGGATGTCTTATAGGGGTATTTATAATTAATGCCCATCACTTCAGTATCGGTGTTTTTAAGATTGTCAGATTCCTCAATGATCTCGTATGCAGGGTTGTACAAGTGTTCATTGGTATGTGCATTATAGTCGATTGGACGCATCTCGAATTGTTCACTGTTAGATGTATCATCCATGTACATTAACTCCTCAAATTCTTCACTTTTACACGCATCATAGGCGTTTTCAAGCTCATCAAAATTTTCATTTTCATCTTCATCATCATCATATGTAAGCTGATCAACTTCTTCATTTTCTTCTTCATCATCAGCATATGTAAGCTGATCAACTTCTTCATTTTCTTCTTCATTATCAGCAAGTTTAGAGTTTTCGGACGTCTCACTACTAGATGCACCATTGTCATAAATAAGTTGATCAAATACTTCATTATTTAATTCTTTATCATCATAATTAAAATTTTCTGAGGTCTCATTAATATATGCACCATTGGCGTTTGTAAGATCGTCAGACATGATGTCTTGTCTTTTCTTTTTTTTCTTTAACAATTTCGTGAAAATAATCGTTTTTCTTTTATTTTACTTTTTTCGGTATCACCACTTTGGGATTTCACGTTGGAGAAGTAATAATAATAACTCGATCGAAAACTAATCTTTACTGCTCGAAGTTTTAGGAGCGGTTCCTTGCTCAAAATTGTGTTCACTTGGAGATCTGAGAACAGAATGAACGCATAGAGGATTCTGAAGTCGGAACTACCTTTACCTGTGGGTAGGGGTAGATCCTTTAAGAGAGAGGGAGAACCACGAGTGAATAAATGGGACCAAGTGGGAAATAAAAATGCGTTAACCAATCCCGACGGTTCTTTACCAACAGGACTCTTGGATTGGTCAATTTTTGTCGGGAGACATTATTTTGTATACTGAACACACCGTATCAATGATTTTCAATAAAAAATCTAATATGGCTAAGGGTTTATGATTTTAAAGAACACTCGGCACACGTTGATATTACTTTTTCAATTTCGTTTATTCATTAAATGATTATATTAAACTTAGAAATAATGTAAATATAATATCATTTTGTGTGATCATTTTAAAAACAAATTGTATTATTTTTGTTTTACGTAAATAATAACAAATATGAAATGGATAAAACAAACAAACAAAGAAACGAAGAAAAATAAATGACAGATTACTTTTTAAAATTCGAGTAGGATAATATGAACGAATGAACGGCCATTGATGTGGTAAAAGAAAATAAGATATAGGGAATAAAGGAAAGTATTGGAGATAATAACAAAGAGGAGTTTTAATTCAGTTTTGCTCGGTGAATCCGTTGGTCGAAGGTTTCGTGAATCGTTGCCTCTTTTTTTCCAGAGACTTCCATCTCTTCTTCTTTCTCTTTTTCCTTCTTTTTTTCTTTAATTATTTTTTTTTCTTCTTGTATGTTTTTTCTTTTTTTGTTTTTTTTTTTCCACGGAAGTAGTAGAAAGTCGTAAGAAGAGCCACCCCCAACTACCAGACAACACTAACTTCGTAATCTAAATTTTCTTTGAGAACGTTCGAGAAAAGAGAACGAAAGAAAAAAAAAGTGAGAGGGAGGGGAGAGAGAGAGAGAGAGAGAGAGCTCACGGGGAAGAGTGTAAGTAGTAGTAAGAAAAAGGGAAAGTAAAAGAAATCCTTTTATCTCTTGAGTTGCCTTTACAAAATTGCAGCTAAGACTTACGCCATTTTTCTTTTTATCTTATTTTCTTATAATTTATTGTACGTTTTTTTTTAATTTATTTTTTTTTTCTTTTTTTTTATTTTACTTTCATTAAGAATCTTATTTTTAATGCGTCCTTTATGTTATGAAATATTGCTTTTACCAAAGAAACAAAAAATAATTGTTCTTTGTAATAATATTAAAAATCTCTTCGATGTACGTTGATTTCTCCAACATGTCGTCCTTTGGTAATTGCGATAATCTAATGACGAGGAAGATAATGAGTGAAATTAGAATAATAATAAATAAAAGACGTGATTGAACCAATAGAAAACGTGTAAAACTTTATTGGCTCGTCGGGGGAAGTATTTTGTGACATAAAAACCCTACGACATAAAAACCCTACGACATAAAAACCTTAGATGATATAACCAAATTTATTTCTTTTTTTTTTTTTTTTTATTTATCTCTTTATTTCCTTACAACTTGTCCGTAGACATTTGGTTAATTGTTATATAGGTGGAAAAAAAAATAGCACGTGAACGATATCTCCAAAGAGATATAGCATTTTTTATTAGCTGGCCCAGCATAGGGTGTTTAGTAGCGGCGTGAACAGTGGAGATCCTTGAATATTAGCGCATTGAAATTTCTTAAATGTTTTCGAAATTCCCTAAAATTTCCCTAAAACATTTGGAACCAATGATCGTTTTCGATCGTTTCAATCTTTACAATTTGTCTAATTTTTCCAACATTCCAACATAAATTGATTGTAAGTTAAGTAAATTAATCGAAGTTTTCTGTTACGTAAAAATGTAACGGAAATAATGAATCCTGGAAATCATAAAAATAACAAACGAACAGATCAAACAATACAAGTATGAGTTTTTATCGTCACATATTAGGAACCTATATACAAGGAAAACGATCGCAGTGTTAAAAATGTGGCTACAATATTCACAATGTGAGGATGATTTCTTTTATTGTCACTAGAGAGGGGGTCGATTCGCGTAGTCTAATTTTCAAATTATATATATAGTTGTGTCACACACAACACACAAATTTACTAAAATCTGAACCCCTGAACACTACCGCCGCTCTCGTGGAGAATTATCGTACTCGATGTTTCCTCATTTTCAACGACACAAATTCGACTAGAACACCTATCTCGATTGTCCTCCTTGTATACAGCTTTGTTGTCACATAGTTCCCATTATATATCAAGGGAAAACGTTAACCTTCTGCATCGATGGACTGTGGGGGTTCCCATTCCTGCTATTGGACGATCAATTTAGAGAGGGGATGTCCATCATCTTGTTTCTATAAAAATCCATTCATGATCGAACTCACTCAATTCGATCGTCGACTTCTCGCATCAACAACATAGAATGACATTTCAATCTTTTTTTAAAATCCTTTTTTTTTTTTTTTTTTTTAAAGATATCTCTCATTTTCGTTTTCCATCGTAAAAAAAGATCTTTTCGTACATAGGATACCCGCACGTAGGACGCATACTTATCGAGATACACGTATGCAAAGGTACAGTTAAGTAACAACTCACGCACGAAAAGTAACTCATTTTGCAACGCGACGACCTCCAACGCTACCGAGAATACACACATAATTAACAATTAGTTTGCCCTTTCATACGTCCCGTATTCTTTTCCCTCTTTTTGTTCCTCTTTCCTTCAACAAAGTCGCCGTAAATTACATTTCTTTTGTACACGTACAAACGAATAACACGTAAGTATATACATATGTGCATTTGTATAGATAAATATGTAGTCATGTAGAATTCATTTATATATATATATATGTGTCTGTAAGTATTTATCCATGTAAAAATCATACGAATGTATTGGATTTAACGAAAAGTTCGTGTTAATTTATAACTGTGATTTATCATAAAGAATTTCGTCGAAAAAACTCGGAACGAATCAATACGCTTGCGTGTTCGTTGTTCTGAAATAGTTTTGAATTGGTTATTTTGTTTTTAATTCGAGTAGAAAAGTAGAATATATTGTATGGCTTGAAAAATCTATCGAAATAAAGAAAAGGGTTGATAAACGTAGGTAAGAATAAACAACAATATCTCGATTGTGTATTTTTTTACTCTCTCTTTTACAGATTCGATTAACTTTTCTACGAAACACTTTTTCACGTATATCCAATACTCTCAAAGAGGTCTTGCCTTTTTACCCTATCTCTGAAGTCAACGGTACTACATGGTTTTTGTTTTTCGAATCCATTTTATTACTCGTGAAGCTATTAATCTAATGTGGTTAGACCGTTGATCGAATAACCAATGAATATCGTTTTAATTTACATTCCCTAATTAGTTTTAATTAATTACTACATAACTTGATAATAAGTTAGTCAATATAATAATATGTTTATAATGAATTTGATTTTTTAAAACAAAAGGACAACAACAAATCATCATCGATATTATAATCCAAATGAAACAATTGAACCATTCATTTAAGCTAAAGTAATTAATTTCACTACTAGAATTCCAACGTTAAAACATTTCATATTTTAAATAAATCTTCATTGTTGAGAGCTTAATATTATTAAATTACAACATTTATTATGGGTGTTGAATAATACTCTCTCTCTCTCTCTCTGTCTATATAACTTTATTAAAAACTATATTTGTCTAAATTTATAATATACATTTAATAGTAATTTTATATGTAATGTAAGTTTATTGATTGTATATACGTTTACAAAATTTAAAATCCAAAGTAATTAGCGGTATACATCCGAAGAAAGTTTTACCTAATTAATATAAGGAATGTTAGAGGAATTTCCTCATTTAACCAACATTATCAAGCCATACTCGTTTTGTAATGTTACAAAAACGTTATCACAAGCGTCCATCTGTTATATTCCTTTTTATACATTATTCATTACAGAAGAAATATCTGTAAAGATTTTCTTAACACAACCGCATTGTTTTTGCTTTACGCAATATTATTCTTATCAAACAATATTCATTCAATCAATTAAACAAAAACAAATTATAATCAATCATAATAACAATAATTATTGTAATTTAATGAAATTTTGTTTTGGGAAAAATAAAAGAAAATAAAAAAAAGGCAATTAACGTTTTTTCCAAAGAAAATAAGATCCGACAGTTTTTTCTTTTTTGTATTATCGATCGTTTTTAAACATTTTGAATATATATATATATTACGTAATAATAATAATAATAATAACAATAATTAATAATAATTATTGAAATCAAAAAGTATCGAAGAATTGTCGTTTGATCGTGACCAATTGCGCGGCGCGTCTCGGCGCGTAGGGGCCAATGACATGCGCGATAGGTTGTCGGCGTAGAAGTGGTGGGGGAAAAGGGGGTTGGGATGTGAAGGGTGGGTAAGTTCGGTAAACGAGAGCGAGCAAACGCGGTACTCGGCGTATTTCTCGCAGTATCGTGTTAACCCTTGAATAGAGAGGATATTCGCGTTTCCTCAAATAATATATATATCTATATATATATATATATTTTTTTTTTAAATCTTCTTCTATATAAAATCTTCTCTTACTATTTATCTGTCTCTCTCCCTCTCTCTCTCTCTATCTTTCTATCTTTCTCTCTCTCCCTCTCTCTCTCTCTCTCGTATACAAAATTTTCTAATCGTGCGTGCGCGGTAGTGCGTGCGGTGCGTGCGGTGCAGCGCGTGCGGTGCGTTGCGTTGCGTTGCGGTACGGTGCGTTGCGGTGCGTTGCGGTGCGGTGCGGTGCGGTGCGGTGCGTGGCGCGCGCGCGCGCGCGTGTGCTCGAACGTGAAACGTGAGAAGCTCCCGTTGCGTTTCTAATTTCTCTGTCTCTATTTCTCTTCGTTCGTACGTTCTCATTCGTTTTCCATTTTTCTCGTTTTTTCTCGTTTTTTTCGTTTTCGTTTTCATTTTCGTTTATTCGTCGTTCGTCGTCGACGACGAGAACAAATTCGTGTGTGGGCGAACATTAATATAATAAAAAAAAAAACTCGTCGTCACCGGAAATTTTGTGAAATCTTTTTCTGTCTATCTCTTTCTCTCTCTCTCTCTCTCTCTCTTTTTCTATATGAATATTCTTTTGATTCAATATTTCGTTTTTCTTCATTTTACATTTGTTTTTTTCTCTTAATCCTCGATTATTATAAAAACGATCTATCTAGCGTTTATCTTCGTTACTATTTTTCTATTTGCCAATTTTTTTTTTTTATCTCTCTGTCTCTCTCTTTTTTTTTAATTTTTTTCTTGGTTTTTATTAAGACGGAGAATTGATATTGTTGATTGTTATTATTATTCTTATAGAGAGAGGGAAAGAGTGAGAGAGCGAGAGAGATGAATTAATCGTTGCAATTGAAAAAAAAAATAATGTGTGATATGTGAGGTGTTATTAAGTTTTACTATTTCTACTAATCTACTTTATCTGCCTATCTATTTGTCTACATATTATCTTGATTTTTAACGATTTGCATTGTATCCTTTGTGAAGAAGATAGAAAAAAAAAACAACAAAATCGTGTTACTTTTGGTGGACATTTATATTACTCTTTTGACAACGAGGTAAATATATTATATTTTATATTCGATATACCGAATTTTGATTTATTATATTATCTTTGGTATTATTTTTCTATAACAGATATTTGTTAATTTACTTATATTTTTACTTTGTTTTTAGCCAATTGATGAATTGATACTCGTTTTATCGTTCACACCGAAATTCAGTAACGTTCGTTTAAGTTAGATTTTATGCAACGATCTAACAATTTTTTTTACCCGTTTTATTCTACGGAATTGAAAATTTGCCAGATTTTTTTACAATTCTTTTTCTTTTTTTTCTTCTTCACACATTTATTTAATTGACAAAAATAGAATTTCATTTAAATGTCACGCGAATTGATAATTATTAATATCAATTATCTGTTATCGTTGATAAAATTAATTATTATTTAAGTATATTTATCTAATCCAATGGTTTTTTCTTTTTGTATCGATGTAAATGCGTAGAATTCGTGTGAGTTATTTGAAAAACAAAAAAAGTTTATTATTATATATGTATTACACTATTACTCTTCTCGATAAAATCACAAAATTTCATTAGAGCAAATGCATATTTTGTGAAACGTATTAATATACAGATGAAGCTTCTGTTAGTTTCATTTCATTTTTTTCTGTTGTTGTCACGGCCGCACCTGTTGTTAGATTGAAAGCACACGTCATGGTTTTTCCACGAACCCTTTCTTGTATTCTCATTAGAAGCAAGAGTAATACAGATTAGGATTAAATACTTCGATGATAATCTTATAGTTAAATGAAGTTAATTATAATTAACTTACGTTAATATAACGTTAATCTTATCTTAAAATAATTCGTTTCGTATCACAATTTTGTATTTTTGTTCATTGAATCGAATGAAGGTTTGACTGATTTCTTTTTTTTTGTCTTCTTCTTCTTTTTCTTCTTTAAAAAGAAAATTTGAACGGACACAAAATGGAATATTGAACGATGAAGATAATGTTTAAAATTTCGTTGGAAAATAAAAAAAAAAGGCAATATATTCTTTCTCCCGTTTCTCTTTCAGTTTCAATATAAAAAGAAACAAACTTTTCTGTCGTAGCATAAGAAGAGTTTGCAGAACGAAAAAGTTTCTTGAAAATTCGTAATGTCGAAATATCGAAATCGAATATTTTTCATCTCTCGTCTCTTTTATGATATTTCCTATAGACCTATGTGTCATTTGAATATATTCCAATTGGCCAATAAATATTATCAAAATTTATTAATAACGGGAGTACGTCGAAAATTTATAAATGATTTTAAAAAAATCAATTATTTTTAACATTCATTTTGTTTAACATTCAGTAGATTTTATTCTTACAAAATTATTTAGAAACATTTATCCGAGTTTTTGCGAAAAATTCAAGAATTATTTATTGAGGAATTATATATATATATATATATCTTTCTTTCTTCTTTTTTTTTGTTGCAAATTCTACAGATGAGAAAACAAAGTTGGTTTAATTATCTTTACGTTTTTATTTAATTATTATCGGATAAAGGTAGTAGAGAAAAACTTTCATTTTGTTTAGTAAGACGACAACTTCTATCCCGTATTTTTTCTTTTTTGTTCTCTCGTCATCATTCCAAAGTGCAGGTAACTTCAAGTTTTAAAGTTAATCAGTTTGTTTTTCTTGAGTAAACATCGTTACGAAATATCTCGACTATGTAAGTCGTGACAGAAAACAATATGGCGGCTTTTTTTTTATTTGTATGTACTTTGAGGAAGGAAGTAATGTTTTTTTTTTATTTTTTCAGATAATATTATGATCTAAATATATAGAAAAAAAAAATTATTAATCCAGATATTCATATTCCATTATTTTCAAATAAATTTATAACATTACTACTAATACTCTAATCCCACCCCTAATTTTATTTATTTAATTTTTCACATTTCATATAATCATTTCGCAATGTTTTTTTAGGTATTACATATTTATGAAGGGGTGTACAAAAATAAATTCGTTTTGTTTGTTACGTTGTTTACGTTTATAAATATTCGTTATCAATATAACGTATCGATAAAGAATAAAGAAAATTTTGTGTTTTATGTATATATATATATATATACATGTATATATTTTTATTTCTTTCGAGAAAAAACTAGAGATCTATTTTCAGAGAGAAATGCGCACGCATACACGTATTTCATTACTTACGCTCGAATGCGTATTTTACAACTTGTTGCTCGATGAAACTCGACAAACTCGGCTGTCGTTTCTAGTTAGAACGAAACGAAAATTTAGTCAAATAAGTAACGAGCATCTATGTATGTATATATATATAACTACGTATACGAAGTAACGCTCTTTCTATCTAAATATCTAAATACTCAAATTACTCGTTATAATTTGAAATCCGAGTCTAGATTCAAATCTAGGAAAGGGGGTTGGGTGGTATCTGAATGTGTTCAGACTTAAATTCAAGTATATTAATATTTGTTATCGGATCTTTTATCATGATTATTTATACAATTATACGTAATACGTATATTTAAAAATATTATCATTTATTTAACACGCGTATACACACACATGATCGTTTACAACAGTTTCAGAAAAGTAATTAAAAATTGACATGAAACGTGAACACATTTGTACGTACAACATTAATTTTCAATATATATATTATCCAAAAGTATTATCCTTTTTCCAAATGTGTTAATTAAATAATGTTTGATATGGATGATTTATTTCTTAAAAATTTTTCAACCCTAAATTGCAACACATCGTCAAAAGAGGGTCTATCTCTTCTCTTCTTTTTCACTTGTTTCCTATTTCATTTTTTTATTTTTTAAGATCTTTAGAGAAACTACGTTGCAGAAACTTCTGAAGAAAACCACCACCACCACCAATCACAATGCATATTTGTCCTCGGATATTTTTTTTCGTTTCTATTTGGAACCTCGACACTTTATATTCCACTTTTTACAAATCTCTTTCTACAATTTTTTTTTTTTTCATACCAACCACACGCATCAGACAACATCCACACACATATACAGACACACTTATATAACACACAAATCTAACGTATTATATATTTTACTATAGCTTCATGTTTCTAGGAAATCGTTTTCTTCCTAGAATGCATTGAAACGGTCGCGAAAGCTTTCTCAACGAGATGTTCTTTTCATACGTTGACACTCATACACACACACACACACACATATGTAAGTAGACGCCTACAAAAAGAAAAAGAGAGAGACAGCATTACATACACTTACACACATTTTACAAAGAATACGTTTCTAATCGTACTTTTTCAAGAATAGCACTTCTTTGCACGTGAAAAAAAAAGCCTTGAACTATTTTTCTTTTTTCCTTGTTCTTTCTTAGTACTTTATTTGCCAACTAGATTTAAAGATGGCGAGTTATTCGAGAAAGAAGTTATGTTTTTTAACTGTACCACAAAAAATATTGGATATTTTCGTATAATTTTCTCTCTAGTCGACTGTAAGCAATCCACAACCATTTTCTATCCTTGAATATTAACAGCTAGTGAACGGTTGGTGAATACACATTGGAAACTTTGTTTCCTGTGCGTTATTCTTTAATTTAATAAGAAAATATCACGTCTGCGGAATTAGGTCATTGTAGGGATGATTTTAGGGGGAATGGAAGGGTAGGTAATATTCGAAAATGGAATTTATAATACTCGCCGTATGTGAGTAGTTCTTAATGAATAATAATGAAATACGATTAAATATTATATTTAGGATTAATAAGATTGTTTTTGTTGAATTTATTTTCAGTTATTTGAGATAACTCAATTTAATGTACCAATGTAAGTTTCAATAAAATCTATTTACTTTTAATATAAAAAATATTTACCAAAACTTTTCAAAGAAATTGCAAAGGGGCACAATTTACAGCATTGCATTCTCTGACATTTTCTGAACTTTACATGCTAAATTTATAACTCGATATGGTGTTCTACGCGTAGACAAAAGAGTGTACTTTAATTTAATATAAGTTTTATTAAAATCTATTCACTGTTAGTATAAAAAATATTTATCAAAACTTTTCAAAGAAATTGCAAAGATGCACAATTTTCAGCATTGCATTCTCTGATATTTTCTGAACTTTATATGCTAAATTTATAACTCGATATGGTGTTCTACGCGTAGACAAAAGAGTGTACTTTAATTTAATATAAGTTTCATTAAAATCTATTCATTTTTAATAGTTTTTTACCTGTATCGGTTGTTTTGGGGGGGGGAGGGGTTGCGTATGGCTGCGTGTGTCTGTGCCCGAGAATGTATTCTTTTCAATGTTAGTTAAATAATAATTTGATATTCTATAGGATATCAAAGTATTATGTTCGATACCTAGGAAAAACTCTGTAAAAAGTCTTATTTCCGACTTTGTCGGAAGGCGCTTTGCATTGATAACAATGGCGAGGAATTACTAGCAATGACTGATTTCCGGCTTTGACGGTACCATATATATATATATATATATACATATATATAGGAATAGAAATTTACATAAATACTTACCCACCATTGGAAAGCTTTAAAGGGTAAAAGTAAATGAGTAAAAAAATGAAAAAGAAAAAGTAGGAAGAGATAAAGAAAAAGAGAGAGAGAGAGAGAGAGAGAGAGAGAAAGCGGTGGGGGAGAAGAAAATTAGCTGGTACGAAGGTGGCTCGTTGCCACGACCGTTTTAACGATGCTGCTGCGGTTACTCGGTTAAAAAAAAAATACAAAATAAAAAAAGGTAAGTAGAAAATAAAAATTAAAGAAAAAGAAAAAAAAAACAAAACGAACGAAGTAGCCCTACAAGAATAGAGAAGCCATTGCAAAAATAATAATTTGCACGATCGTTTAACTTTCTAATGAAAAAAAAAAAAAGAAAAAAGAAACAAAATGTGTGCACACTCGTAAGAGAAAATAATTTTCTTCTATTCTTGTATTTTTCCAAATTTTTCTCAAAGTTGTACGAAAACACATTGTGGAATGAAGTTGTCCGTTTACTAATTGAAGAAATATTTTTATTTCCTTTTTTTTCTGCATTTAAGCAGAGAGTCAATGCTTGCAAAAGTGGGCTAACACGATTGCCAAGAAAATTTAAATCGAAACTCTATAGATTTTTTTTTTTTACAGAAAGAGACAGAGAGAGAGAGTTCGTCGTTCGTTCTTCTTCCTATCAGTATTTCTCATTCTTTTTCATTCTGTCGCTTTCTCTTTCTGTTGGAAAGTGATTAATTAGCCTACCACGCGGCCGATAACTTTTACGGAGACCCCAGTAGTAAACTTGGCAGTTGGATGCGCTTCGTTAACTAACTGTTTGTCTAGTATTCGTTAAATTACAATATGTTTGTCTTACTCGAGTAGATTAAATTGGCGCCAAACTCGAAATTCGAATGTTCTTATTGGTCGGTCAATAAATGATCGATCAATTCAAAAAATTTGTCGATATTATTATTATTATTATTATTATACTCATATTCTTTACTTTTCTTCTTTTTTTTCTAGTCTTCTTTTTCCACCCCTTCTAATTACTTTTTATTTTTTAAATCATTTTTATGTCTTCTTATTTCCTTGCCCCATTTTTTGTTTTTTATTTTTTCCGATTTCTTTGATCCTATCTTTTTTCTTATTTACCTTTTCTCTTTTATACATTTATTCTATCGTTCATTTCTTTTTCTATCTTTTATTTTCATTGATATTATATATACATTTTTTAATTTTCCTTTCTTTATCATTGTTTATATTATTCTCATTTTCATTTCTCTATTTGAAGCTGAATAAAATATACGAAAATAATCAAATACACGATAATTTAATAATACCGAATTAACCTGATATAAGAAATATAAGAATAATATGAAATACGTCGCAAAAAAAAAAATATCTTACCTAAATTACAAAAACAAAATTGATGTTATAAATATATGATTCGTAAGTTAAATGTCTTTTAAAGTTCAGTCAAGTTGAATAAGACACCCACACCCCTATTCGCGTATTCAAACTTTTCGATCGTTTCTTTTTTCTTTTATTTTTTTTTTATTTTATTCTGTTGACTAGTACCGCCGAGTAAAAAGAAGAAGAAGAAGAAGAGAGTTGGTCGTTCGCGTTGAGCTATGAAATTTGGTGGATTCGCTAGACCGGGAGAGTCCGATCGGAAACGATTTGAATGTGATTTGAATTTTGAGTACACTCGCGAATCTGCATATGTAAACACGACGCGTCGTTGTGACGATGCATCGTAGTACACACATACACACCTACCCACCCATGTACGCACATACACACCCACCCACCCACGCACGCACATACATACTTACTTACTTATATACATTCATACATTCATACATTCATACGTACGTACGTACACGCACACGCATATATATACACAAATACATATTGAGCCATACACACGCATGGTACGCGATCGAAGAGAGGAACACGATCCCTATGAGCTCTTTACCTAGCCAATCCTCGTTCCCTACTACCCACCCGCCCCCTCCC